TTCTACCGAATGTTTGGTGTTAATATGTTTGTAGCTCGTTTTTTAAATTTTTCTCACTAAAGTTTTTTGGTGAACGTTTAGTTTATTAAAATTCAAAATAAACTTATTTTCCGAATTCATGCTGCAAATAAGGCCATATGTCATTATTGGCCGAGCCGATTATCATGAAAATACTCAATGATGTTCTCAAAGATACAAAAAAGTTCCAAGTAATCAAAAAAGATCCCATTCCTCAACTAAAAACTAAACTAAACACAATAATTAAGAAAATAAAAAAGCACATCACTGACGACAAACTTCCATTTACAATGTTGGTTTTATTGTTAATGATAACTCTTTAAAATGTGACATTTTAATATTTAACGAGATGAGAACTATCGTTATCAATGCTTCAAATACCTGAAATTTAAAAAAATTAATAATAAAGTATGTTTGTTTACGTTTAGCTTGATGGCGGCACGTTTTCTCGGTGGTTTTGTAATTTGGGTGGATTCTTGTTTTTTGCTTCTGAACAAGTGAGTTCTCTTCTTTTTTACTATGACTAAGTTTTTCTATATCTTTCTGCATCTTTTTCTTTAACCTGTAAATATTATTATATCTTATTCCAGAGACTTTCTCTTAAGCCACTCTAACACTCCTTTGTCTCTGACGTGAGTAGTTCGGCGGCGAATTTTTTACTTTAATCTTAGGTCTAATAATAACAATAAAAACAATAAATCTAACTCTAACAAAAAAATAAATATAGTTAGTAACCATAATTATATTAATAATAATAATGCTAATAGCAAGTGTAATAAGAATAATTTTATTAAATCCCACTCTAATGTAATCAATACTAATGATAAGAATAATAATTCTAATTCTATTAGTTTAAATAATATAACTAGATTTAAAAATACCAATATCCAACCTACCTCTACATTTTCACTGTTTAATATTAACATAAGATCAATTAATAAAAATAGCTCTATATCCATCAAATAATCTCTTCCTCCTTACCTGATTTTTTTACTCATACTGAAACTTGGCACGAGGACTCTAACTCTCCCTCTCTTATTCTTGCTACTCCTGATGGTTACAGCTTCCTTGAACTCTCTAGACCTCCAAAAAATCTTCTATCATCTTCTAATTCTTATTATGGGGGTATCTGTCTATTTTATAAATCTCTATTTACTGCTTCCATTAATACTTCCTTTAATTTTTCTTCTTTTGAATGTCTTGCTGTAACTCTTAAGTCCTCTTCTCTATCTTTTTATATTGCTGTAATCTATCGCCCTCCTTCTTCTCTCACTTTATTTTTGGATGAATTCTACTCACTCGCTGAATCTCTCTACTCTTTTTTTATTCCTTTCTACATCTCTGGTGATTTCAACTTGCACTTCAATAATTTATCATGTTCTTATACTTGTAGATTTAATGATATTTTGTCTCTTTTTAACTTAACTCGATATTGTTCTTTTCCTACCCATACTTCTGGTAACACTATTGATTTTATTATAGCTTTTTCTAAGCCTATTAATATCTCTGCTAGCTCTGTTCCTTATTCTGATCACCTTCTTATTGAATCTGTTTTTTCATTAGATTTTCTTCCTTCAAATTCATCTATGTCTATTTCTAAAAGATGCTGTTCTTCTCTTAATAAAGATATTTTTCTTCAATCTCTTACATCTGCTTCAACATCTAAAAATAGGTGGTCTGTTCTATTTAAACTTCTACATAAAAAATCCTCTCACTCATCTTTTTCTGCTCAACAGTTTTATGACTTTTTTGTAAATAAAATTACTTCTTTAAGAACATCTAATTCTAATTTTTCTTCTCATAACTTCACTAAACTTACTACTGAATCTTTATTTGTATTTACTCCAATAAATCTTTTAGAACTAACTAAAATTATTAATTCTATGTCGTCTACAACCTGTTCTCTAGATCTACTTCCTTAAGAAATAAGAATTTTCTTCAATATTTTATCCAATCATTCTCAAACTAGTTAATTTATCTCTTTCCACCTCTAAATTTCCTACTTCTTATAAGAATTCTATTGTTATTCCTATTCTTAAAAACTCATCCTTAGATGCTACCTCTTTATCTAATTATAGACCTGTAACTAATATTACTTTCATCTCTAAAATAATAGAAATTTAGACTTTAACTCCTTGCTAACTGTATCTCAATCTGGTTTCAGACCTGCTCACAGTACTGAAACTTCTTTACTTAAAATACACAATGATATCCTTCTCTCTAGTGACAATAGTAATCTTACTCTTCTTCTTGCTCTTAACTTTTCCTCGGCTTTTGATACTGTTGACCATACTATTCTCTTGAGACTGCTGCATCTTTCTTTTAATATTACTGATTCTTGTCTATCTTGGTTTTCTTCTTATCTCTGTAATCGTTTTTCTTCTGTTGTTCTCAATAATTCTATCCTTTAAGTAAAGCTTTTAACTCTGCTGCTCGTCTAGTTGCTCGTGTCCCTTTCTTTTCTCTTATATCTCCATATCTT